CTGCCACATGAAATGCCTGGAGGTCCCAGAGAATGGCTGTAGCTTTTCAAGAGAGCATGGTCCTGTACCCTTTTAAGACTACAGGCCTCCCAAAGTGAGAGAACACGTCTGTGTGGCTTTAAGTATTCCATTTGGCTGTATTTTGTATGGTAGACCCAGGAAACTAATAATAATGGAAGGCTAAACATATTTAAGAGACAGTTTTGTTTTGAACATTTATAAAATTAACTACTTTCATCATTGCATCAGTACAGTCAAGAAGCTGCTGAAGTATGTCCTATTTGAAATTGAGAATTTCTAAGAATGTAAGTATATTAGCAAGGAAAGAATTCAAACCTAGGTAGGCTGACTTCAGAGCTTGCAGTATAGATAATCACATTTTGCTTCCCCTTATGGACAGTATACACAGAGTTAGAGAGAGTGACAGAAAATGCCAATGTCATAAATCTAAATCTCTGTGAAAATTATAAGAAACAAATTAAGGAAGATAGAAAAGTAATAACTATAAAATGCCTAGATTTGCTAGACATCCTGTAATCACAACACTCAGGAGGCCAAAGCAGGAGTACTGTGTTTTTCAGGCAGCTTGAGCAACAGAGAAAGGAAGAATCTGTCTCAAAAGACAAAAACAAAACTTATGAAAAAGCTGTTAAATAACTAGCAAGTCTTTCAACAACAAAAATATAGAAGTGATACTTTCTATACTTAAATAAGAGAGTTTTTCTGAACATTTACAGTACAGATACTTTCTGTGAGATTTTAGTTTTTCATAAGCAAGAGATACTTCTCATTTTTTAAAAACAATTTTGTTTCTCAAAATCTTATACGACAAAGACAGAACCAAAAGGAAAACCTCACATATGAATATGGATTCAAAATTTTCAGTGATATGGTACAAAAAAATATAGAAGTGATGGAAAAAGTAATATTTCCTGACCCAGAAGGACTCAATTTAAGAATGCACAGCTGGTTTTCTAGGGGATCTTTCATTTTTTTATGTTTAAAAATTTACACATGACATTAAATTTATTATGAATAACACAATGTTTTTAAACACGTATCTACACATACTGTGGTCTGACTGAATCCCACAGTAATAATTTTATGTTGAAAATGTTTAAAACCTACTCTCTAATAATTTATTAATACTACAGTGTGCTGTTGACAATAGTCCGCACGTTGTATAATATATGTCTTGAATTTATTCTTCTTGGCTAGTTGAAATTTCTACAACCATCTCTCCATTACCAGATCCTGGTGACCTGGTTCTGTCTCCTTAGCCTTTTTCTTCCTCTAGTCTACATATATCTTCCCATGACTGTGCATCCAATTCTCTTGCTGACACTTGTTGAAGATGCTCTCTTCCTTCCAGTATGTATTTTCGCCATCTTTGTAAAATATCAGCTAGTTGTCTTTATGTGCACATAAGTTTGGGTCTTACATTTCATTTCATTGAGCTATGTTTTGGATTTTTGTGCCCATATCAAGCTGTTTTTATTACTATGGCTCCATAATATGACTTGAAATCTGTGTGGTAATTTCAGGATTGCTTCGGCTATCCAGGTTCTCCTTTTTATTTTTATTTATTTTTTATTATTCTTCTGTCATACAATACTTCCCAACTGCAGCATCCCCTCCCTCCACTCCTCCCACTGCCCCCCCATGCACCTCCCCTCTTCTCCAGATTGTTTGATTTTTGAAGATTATTATTGATTGGTTAAATTTATTCTTTAATCATTTCGTGAATGTGTACAATACATTCATTTACCCTCACCCCACCTCATCTTATCTCCCTCTCATCCTTGTCAACCCCGCTCCTTTCTAAAGGTCCCTTTCCCATAACTATGCATTTTTGTTTTGCTTTCTGATTTTAAACAAGACCACCTGTGCTTTTGGAGATTTTGAAGTATTCATTTAAACCAGGTAGTCTTGCCATGGAATACACTAGTTGAAGATTCTTGCATTTATGTTCACCAAAAATGTTATTATGTTTTTAATGACCTATTTTTACTTTTTGTTATCAGGGCAACACAATGCTAGTCTCATGAAATGAGTTTGATACTATTCCTTCCTCTGGTTTTTGAAAGAAAGTTTGGGAAATATAGACGTGAATGCTTTAAATGTTTGATATAATTCAGTAATGGAAGCTGTTACATTCTGGCTTTTCTTTGACAAGACATTTTTTTATTAGTGATTAAATCTTGTGCATTGGTCTGTTCATTTTGTATTTTGTTGTTATTCAACCCAGGCAAGTTTATCTGAGTAGAAATGTATCGATTTTTTTAGATTAGCCTTTTTGATAGTGTAAAACTTCTCACACCAGTGATCCTTTATAAATGTTATCTGTCTTTTAATCTACTTTTCAATTTGTGTCAGTGAGCCATCAATTGTCCTGGAATATGTTGTTTGGTTTATATATATATTTATGATTTTTCTAAGACCTTCCTGTTAATGTTGTCTAGTTTTATGCAATCGTGGTCAGAAAATGTATTTGATTTGATAATTTTTGAATTTCCTTAAACCTGTTCAAATATTATGGCCTACTGTGTAATCTGTCTTGGACAATGTTTCAGGTAAGCTTGAGAAGAAAGCATATTATGCAGTTTGAGGGTAGCATTCTGTATTTGGCATAGCTAAAGCATAGTTTAAATTCAATATTTCTGTATGAATTTTGTATCTACATAGTCTGTCTATTGATGAAATTGGGATAGTAATGTTCCTAATGTTATGGATGTCTATCTTTTCCTCCCAGACTATTAATACTAGTTTTATCTATTTAGGTACTCCACTATTTACTAGGAAGTATTACTTTATTTTGCTGAGTTTTCTACCTTAAAATTATATGCATTTTAAAAAGTAATTTTTGGCTTAATGTCTATTTTCTCTAAGTATTTCTACACCTATTTATTTTTGGTTTACATTTGCATAAAATACATTTTTTCATCACTTGATTTCCAGTATACATGTGTCCTTCCACGTGAAGGGAATCTGGTTGGAAGTGTATCATTGTATTCTGTGTTTTTCCACTCTACCACAAAGTCTTTTAATTATAGAGTTTATTCATATTCAAATATTTACTGATGAGAGTAACTTACTGGTGGAAATTAGTTTTCCTTGCATTGATATCTTCATTTGGAATGAAGTTGTAGCTAGAGTTTTCCTGCCTTGCCCACAGTCAGGACAAATCTTTGTCACCCGCCAGTCCCACAGCCACTCAGACCCAACCAAGTAAACACAGAGACTTATATTGCTTACAAACTGTATGGCCGTGGCAGGATTCTTGCTAACTGTTCTTA